TATTTAAAAAGGAAAATTGGGAAGAGGAGGAAAAAAACACAGCCGTACGATCAGCGGATTGGCTAAAGTGACGGGCCCACGTGACCAAGTGTCAAAAGGAATTATGCCGCCCCCTTTCCCTCTCGAGTCAGGCACCGTGGAAGAGTCTGCTCCTCACAGACCACTTACATAATGACACGTGGATTTGTCGGGTCAAGTACGGCTTCCCTGACAGGTCACTCTCACGAGCATGCATGTAGAACACCGTGAAAATTAAGAACAAAAATTTTCTGACAAATAAAAAAATATGATGGCTTTGTTTTTTAATTAATTTTATTATATTTTTTGATAAATAGTAAATAATAAATAATAAATATCAGCGTGCTCCTGAAAACCATCATTCGCCGTTGACTCTCTCTTCTTTGTCTCTACTCCATACATTTTGCACCGCTCGATCAAGCCATGTTCTCTTGGCCATATGTCTTAATGATAAATAAAAACTCTAAATCTTAAATCTTATTTGACGGAGAAATTTGGTTTTCTAGGATTTCCCTAGTATTTGCACCAATCTTCTTCGAGAATAAAAGGATCAACGAGACCTATAAAACAAAATAGTACTAAGACCAATGTGACTGTTGTCACACAGACTCCGATGCTTAAATCGGGATTACAATGATTGAGTATAAAGTGTAGGGTATTGTAAGCATACCTTTAAGGTTGACTTATTAATAGAAATTGAATCCTGTAGAGATTGTGGAATTCGAATCCTCATACATCTAGGAAATTTGATTATCTGGGCTCGTGTATCTTGTTATGGACCTGTTATCGGATCAAGATTCGGGACACGATGGGTTCAAGCGGGCATGCATCGCGGTCGAGTCGGATTATCGGGGGGTCGAGAACTGCTCGACGTCGAGAAGGTTTTGGCGCCAACCACTAGTCGGTTGGGGGGCTGACTTGGGTCGTCGAGTACCGACCCCCCTTTCTGGTTTATCCCTTCTCTTGGCTCTTTTATCCGACCCTCTCTTGCTATGTTGTATCTTCTCTTTCTCCCGGTAACATTATTTATTTGAAAAACTATCCTATGGTTATAAATTCATTATTTACTCCAAATTCTTGACTTTTCCTTTTGAAACACAATTTTAAATACACAAGTCTCAAATAATCTTAAATAGTACATGTCTTATAATGCAAAAATAATTTCTTAAACCTACATGATTTTGTGTCATTTACGGAAACACCCTCCTCTCATTTTCTTTCACTTTCTGCCATCTCTTTTCTCCCACTTTATAATTTCTACCGTCTTGTTTGGTTGACATTACATCACTCTCTTTTTCTATAGAGAATGATCATCTATCTAAATGTATCTCTTATCAGTATTCAAATTTGAAATAATAGGTAATTACTCTTTTCAATAATTAAATTTGCTAATTTTATTTGTTAGTTCAAAAGAAATGGGGAGATACAAACCTCCAACCAGTAAAACAGTGAGCCTTGGCGACTTTTTATTTTGTAGAAAATAGTTAATAGCTATTAATTTATAGCAGGGATTCAATGGATGATCAAATAAGTTAGTAGTTAATCAAATTTTTTTCTTTTAAGTTACAATGTTACTTAGGAATGAAAATTTGAATCTTCAACTTTTCGATAGTGAGATATGCTCAAGTCTACAGGACTTTTTCCACTAGTGATAATTTAATCGGTGAAGTCTAATTGGTTTAATTAATTATTTATTTATTGAAAGTAAAATTATGATGGTAATTGTAATTTTTTTTTTTTAATATTTGGAATCTTAGATTTTATATTGAACAATCATTCAGTGTGGGACCCAAAGGCTTCTCTTATGCCTTCTCGTGAAGCCTCAGTGCTTGTGATTCAGATTTTTATCATTAGTCTTTCTCTCTCTTACTCTCTCTCTCTTGCTGTCACTTCCCATCCAAATCAGGGCGAGCTGCTCTATTCTCACCGGAGATAAGACTATGCCCAAAAACACCTCCAATCAAAACACTCCATTTGTACATTATCAGATATTACAATAACACAAAAGGAATCTCATTAATAATTTATTTAGTTTTAATTATATTTTTGTTGTATACTCTTCAATTTATTCTAATTTTGGTGCATGTTTACAGTGTCTAACTTGGTCCTAATTTTTCTTAAAAATAAAAAAAGATTCGGGTAAATTTTCATTTAATTCTCACCATTTACTCATTATTTGAATTTGTGCTCTCGCCTTGGAGAACTTAAAAAGGAGTTTAGACTTTCTTTACAATAAAGATAATTATGGTCGTCTATATATTATGATTATGCTCTTCCTTAATCAATGTGCAACTTTGTTTGCATCCTCCTTACAAATCCAACAATTATTTTCTTAACCAACTAATCTATACTCACCTTTATAAAACTTAATTTAGTATGCAACCAATGTCAACAAGGACGAAGCAAAGAAGGAAGAAGACTCCCCTATTGGTCTATTTAGATTAAAAAAATGATATAAAAAATTAAGATGGTAAAGTTTTCTCTTCATTTTCCCTCCTAAATTTCTATAAAATATTAATATTCATTGGTTCCTTCTCAAAATCTAATTGACAATAAAATAAGTAGTTCATGTCTATTCCCTTAAGATCGTAGTTCTTTTGGCTCATTGATCTCGATTGAATTCCATTTTTTGGAGTTGCGCTCGTTTGAACTTATTGGATTCTGATATCATCTAAAAATTAACCAACTGGCAGACGAGTAGCTCATATCTACTATAAACTTTCGTTAAAACCGCCTCTTTTATCTTTTAACATAAAAGGTTAGAATGTATAATTTTGGTCCTAACAGCTTTCACATAACACGTTAGTACAGGTATTTGAAACACATCTCATATATTTGGCCAACTCTATGCTTTTGCCAACATTTTTAAAACGTTGGCAAATGCAAAGTTCTTCCGACGTTTTGGAAACGTCGGCAGAGCTATTCATTTACCGACATTTTAAAGTTTAGCTCTACCGATGGTTTTTAGAAAAACATCGGCAATGTGCTTTCCAACGCACTTTTATCGACATTTTTTTCGATGAATATTTATCGTCTAGAAAAATCATTCCCGACATTTTGTAGGCCTTTTCCGACGTTTTAAAGTTTGGAAAATTTTTTTAATTCTTGTAGTGGTTTACAATACCAATGAAGAGCAAAATACTCTTCTTTTTTTTTTTTTTTGGTTTAAAGACTAAAATTTTATTCTATGACAACGAAATTCATTACTATATATTATTATAATAATAAATGCAAATGATATATTGGCAACTAAATTTCATTTTTTTTCCTCCAAACTTCACACATGCTTTCACGTAAGAGCATATACTATATGGTTGCAAGGCCACAATCACTACAAGTTCACGGGACCTAAAAATAAGAGCCAAACCAAGAATCCTATAAAACTTTGTACCTTCTTATGCTACATATCCCTATATTCCTTAATTTCCTTTTAATTATTTTATTAATTACATGCATTATATTATATATTGTTCACTTTGTTAAGATTATCAAATACAAATTATACCCACTAAAAAATATTCAGTTCAAGAATAAAACCCATCAGAGGGTCACAGACAACTTTTTTTTTTTAATTATATTTGTATGTATATAGTTTTTTAAATTTATATCTTAGCTTAATAAATAATATTTTTGTGCGTATGTCGTTGATTGAACTATGCGTCCCTATAAATTAATTATAACATGTCAGATTTAGATTAGTTTACAATATATATAATTAAGTTAATTAATTATTTAAGTATTTCAAGTAAACGAGAAATTCTGAAGGTATAAATTAAAATTATATATTTATGCAATTGTTAAAAATTTATATAATAAATTAAAAAGTTCTATGTAGAAATGGGGTCAACTTCGGGTGGCCTTCTGTTAAGGGGTCACATAATTTTCCAAACTTTTTGACATAAGAGTCAACTAAATGGCATCTTTTTTCTACTTTCGAGATCTACAACTCAAGTCATAATATTTGATAATTAAGCACTAATAATACCTAATTAATCATTATATGAAATATTAGGGTTTTAATTTTCAACAATTTGCTTTTTGTAATGCACTTGAAAAGTCACCCAAGTCAAAAAATATCACTTATACGTTCACACAACACATCGAAGGTTAACAAATTTACTAAACTCAAATAGATAAAGAATAGTGCTTCATATTCTCAAAGCGTGTCGGTTGTTGTCGATACACAAATTTCGTTCATTTTGCTAGGCGATAGTGCTTCGAACTACGTCAATGAATAACAAGTAGTAGAAGTTATTAGAGGGAGTCCATGTAATGTGGGTACCATTTTCACACCGTTATAAACATATTTCAAATTCGTCGTCTCCAACCGTCATTAATTTTAAACAAACTCTTTGACATAATTAAGATTCATCATCCTAACAAAAATTATCATCACAACATGACTTTTGATAACGGATTACATACACTAAATTTTTTGCTTCTTATAGGAAACAAGATTCGACAAATTATGGAAAAAGAAAAGGACGATATAGCCAAGAAATAATTAAATGAAAGAAAAAAATAATAATGAATGAAGAATCAATGACATATATATTGGCTCAATTTCATGCAAACATATAATAATGATGATGAGTTTGATTTCTTGAAATATTCACAATACATAAATATTTTCAAAACATATACGATACTGTCTTCTTCAAATGTATGTTTTTTTTCCCCTTTTTTTTCTCTGTTTACTTTAGGGGAAGAGAAGGAAAAGGTGACAGTGATTAAACATTAGGGTAAGCAGAAAATTTTTGTCCAACTTTTTTCTTTCTTCTTTTTTTTTTTTAATACACACATAAACAAAAAATACTAATAATTAAAAGAAAGAAAAAGACCAGAGGAAAAGACAGAAAGTGCAACGTCAGAATTAGCCGTAGGGTTCCAATATTTGCCTCTTTTTTTTTTCTTTTTTTCTTTTGGGTATTTGAGAGTTTATCTTTTGGACTTGTGTTGGGATTTCATTACAGATTCTCTCTTCATTCTCATCCATATCTCTCTCTCTCTCTCTCTCTTCTCTCTATCTCTCAAGAATTTGAAGAACTGGGAGAGAAAAAAGTTTGCTGGAGAGAATACGGTTCCATCAGTTCTTTAGAATTCTGTCTCTTCTCTCTTAGAATGCTTGTTTCTTTTGAGCTTTCGAAAAAAACTAAAACTTGTCTCTTAGCTTCGAGCCAAATCCCATATTGAATCCAAGTTTTCTTTTTTTTTTTTCTTTTTTCTTTTGTCTTGAATTAGATCTTGGAAACTTTTGTTAATTACTTCCATTTCTTCTTCTTCTTCTTCTTATTATTATTGGTTTATTAGATCTGTTTGTCTCATGTGAAACCCTCAAAAAGATGATGATGAAAGGCAATTTCCTAGCCATGGATGAAAATTTGTCCAATTTGACATCTGCATCTGGTGAACCAACTCCCAGTGTTTCCTCAGCCAATAATAAAACCGACTTCCCCAATCAATACTTCGATCCTCAAGCTCACCCACCGCCTCCCCCGAAGAAGAAGCGCAACCTCCCGGGGAACCCCGGTAAGACTACACTTTTACCATCATTGCTGGGGAGTCAGCCAGCAGAGTTGTTTAAAGTTTATGTATTAGAATCAATTTAATATTTAGATGAAAGAAGTTGATGAGTTAGAGTAAATTTAATGTTTTTGAGCAGACCCAGATGCGGAGGTGATAGCGTTGTCGCCGAAGACGCTGATGGCGACGAACCGGTTCGTGTGCGAGATCTGCAACAAGGGGTTTCAGCGGGATCAGAACCTGCAGCTGCACCGGCGCGGGCACAATTTGCCGTGGAAGCTGAAGCAGAGGTCGAACAAAGAGGTGATAAGGAAGAAGGTGTATGTGTGCCCAGAAGGGAGCTGCGTGCACCACGACCCATCAAGGGCTCTTGGAGACCTCACAGGAATAAAAAAGCACTTCTGCAGAAAGCATGGGGAGAAGAAGTGGAAATGTGACAAGTGCTCTAAGAAATATGCAGTTCAATCTGATTGGAAAGCTCACTCCAAGATCTGTGGCACCAAGGAGTACAGATGTGACTGTGGAACCCTCTTTTCTAGGTAATCAAACTAAAACACTTTTTAAATTTAATTAATCACTCACTCCCATTATTATTATTATTATGCCATAATTGTTCACAAATAATCTGCATTTATGATCAATATATTATATCTTGGTTTTCTCTTCCTATGAATCTGTGTATCTGTAATTTGTCTTGCTTGTCTGATCTCCCCCCAAATAATAATAAATTTACATTCCCTTGTCAATATTCACATGTTGGTCGGGTTTTTTTATTTTTTATTTTTTTATTATCCATACCCGTACATATGCGAGGAGCTAGTCATACAAAGTTTTGAACTCAAGAGAGTCGGGTTGTGGGTTTCTATAGAAATAGACCAATAAAAACGTGCCACATCGGGGGAGAGAGGACGTGGAAAGCATGTGAGTGATGATTTTATGATTATATTGAGCTGAGAGAGAGAGAGCAAATTGTTTTACTTTTTTACAACCAAAATTTGGGTTGCTTGGTAGAAGCTAAAGTGAGAAATTATTGTTGGGTTGGCAGAAAGGATCAAAAAAGAGAATTTAAAAGTGTGTGTGTTTTTTGTTTTCTTACTGATCATATTTCTCTATTCTATGTTTGTCTTTTGCACTATTTGACATTTTTCTTTTTCTTTTTTGCAGGAGAGATAGTTTCATTACTCACAGAGCCTTTTGTGATGCATTAGCAGATGAAAGTGCAAGATCAGCCATGGCCTTAAACCCTCTCCTCTCTTCCTACAATAACAATATCAATCCACAAGACCACCCCATTTCAAACAATATATTCTCGCTCAAAACCGACCTTAATAACAATAATAATAATAATAATATTATGAGTGCGGGCGAAATAATCCCACCATGGCTGCACCCGAGCGCTGATCAAGACCAGGCTCAGGCTCGAACTGTAAACCCTAATCCTAACCTTAACCCGAGCCATAACCCTAGCCATGGGCACGGGGGTGGAGTGAGTGTTGGTGTTGGCTATGGGCAGTCGAATTCAAGTGTGTCATCTCCACACATCTCAGCCACAGCACTGCTGCAGAAGGCAGCCCAAATGGGTGCCACCATGAGTAGTACCACTACCACGAGTGGCTCTATCCCTCGGCCCCACAACCTCCTTCACGTGTCTACTACAGGTACCCATTTTCTTTTCTTTCTTCTTTTTGACGCCCCTCTCGTAATCTATTGCAGTAAATTTAATCTTTTATACATATTTTTAATATTCTTTCGTATTATTAGAAACTCTTCCCTTTGATATATACACCATGTTAAATCACTGCTAAGTAGAAGAACCTTTTTTATTGCTCATTCACTTGTGGGTTCGGTAGAAATTAATATGTTAACCTACTAAATTCAAAAGTTTAAACCCAACAAGTGACAAAATGACAGTTCTTTTTTTTTAAGATACCGGAAAATGATAGAGATATCGTAGTTAAAAAAAAGATTGACTTTGAGGAGGCTAAAATTTTTAGAGAATCCAAAAAAAAGTCGGTTGTTCATTTCCAGTACTCATATAGACCAAACTATCGAATAACCCACAGCATTGCACCAGATAATATTACGACACCTATTCAAAGGAGGGGGATAAAACTTCTCGAAGGAAAGAAACAAAAGAAAATTTAACATGTTACATATGAAAGCAAGAATAACAAAGTTTTAGCGGCGGAAAATGAAGTATTATTGTCATAGGGTTAGAAAAAGTAGGATGAATTTCATATAATGTTTGTTTTCGGAAATGTTACAGGTAATTATGGGGAGATAAATTTAAGGTCACGTGAAGGTGAAATGGGGAGAGGAGGAGGGGCCGTCAGTTGTAGTAGTAGTAGTTGTACTGAGTATGGGAATAAAGCTGTTTCTGCTTCTGCTTCTGCTTCTGCTTCTGCGCCCACATTTCTTCAACACATGATAAATTCTGCTTCTGCTTCTGCTTCTGCTTCTGTTTTCCTCCAAGATTCTCCCTTCCACGACGCCGCCGCCTTCGCCTCCGCAGCCGGTGGCGGCAGAAGTGAGGGCTTGACCAGAGATTTCTTGGGCCTTCGCCCTCTTTCCCATGGCGATATTCTAACCATTGCTGGTTTTGGAAACTGCATTCTCCCCACTACTCACCACAGTCAGATCCACAAGCCATGGCAGGGTTAGTTTCGTAAATCAACTCCCTTTTTTTTTCTTTTTTCTTTTTTTTTGGGTTTTTCTTTAAGTGATCTTCTCGAAGGAGGGAATGGAGAGATGTGTATTATTTCTCTCCTTTATATGATGAACAACATTATAATTATCATTATTTTTATTTTTATTATTTCTCCAGCTGTTACGTTCCACCTCAAACTTAATTTCTGGATTTTTTTTAATAATAATTTGTAAGCTTAATTTTGTACTGAGCAGTGGATTACTTTTGTTTTTTTTATATGAGATTATTAATTATATACAATAATGTGTGGTTGATGCTGATATATATGCTATAATATAACGGATCATATATTCTTCCTTTTTCTTTTTCTTTTTTTTTAATTGTAAATTTAGTTTTTATATCTTCATCTAAGATTATAGGATATGGAAACCTTTATTTGTGCTATATAAAACAATTTTTTCTAGATGATAATTTTACCCTGAGTAATTGAGAGCTATTTATCCTATTTTCTTTGGTTTTTTAAGAAGAAAATAAAAATAGCACAAAAAAATATGTATTCATATATGTAGTATTAAGTTTTAAATTTAAAAAAAATGACACAAATTACAAACTAATTAGATAATTATATAAGAGCAACCCTAATTCACTTTTGCGACATTAAAAAAATGTGTAAATAAAATTTATTTTACCATTTAGTATAATTTTCCTTTTTTTTCCTGGTGGTAGCCTACTTAATTACCGGTAAAGCACCTAAGTTTTATCCCATTTTTAAAAGAATACGACTCATTCACAATTCTTTTCTTTTTAGATTTATTTATTTTTAGAAATAATTTTGGATTCTTAGTCGATTTTTTTTTTCTTTTATGAAAAGTTAGTCAACAAAATTATTAAACTTTGTTAGAGTTCGAAAAATTAAGTGGATTATGAAGCATGAATGAAACAGTAAACAAGATTGGGTTTTGTATACCAATTACCGTCGAATTACGCTCGCTTTGACACCTCTCTAATCTACTATGTTATAACCATTGCAACACATAAATTAACTTAATTTGTGAATGGTAGCGGTTTAGCTAATCATAAGTTAAGTTTTGTGTACTCAAGATTAGAATATTGAATTACGTCTATCCTTTATTATAGTTTTTTTTAATACAATAAATTGGAGTACGAGAGTTCAAACCTCCAACTTTGAATGGATAGATATTAACATTCGCTGAGCTATGTTCATGTTGGTCTCCATTATGGCTCGTTAATCTCTCATAATCAAGTCGTAATTATATATCTTGTCGGTCGTCATTTCAAGTTATATGCTTGGCTAGCCGTTGTCAAATTAGCTTTCACAAACAAAAAAAAAATTGATATTATGAAAAATATTGTCTTACACAATCTAAATACAGAATTATGTAAATTTAAACTCTCCATAGTATCAATCTATGCAAATCTAAGCTTTTCAAATGCAGTGAATTAAATAACCCATTTCTTAACAATATACCCGGAAACATTATAATATATATATTTATATATATATATATATATATATATATACACACAACTTTGAAGAGATTTTAGGAGAAAAAAGATTGATCAAAATTAAAATTTTTATTGTTGAGAAAAAAGATATGGGTGAAGACATTTCAACGACTTAAGTAAGAAACAATGCAAAAAATACTGAATATAGCCATCGATGGATAATGCGTAAATAAATTATAATAACATTTTAGTAACTTCTTCATTAGGTGGGATTACACATTAAATTGATTACTAATTATCATTTATTTAAACTAAAGTGTTATTTTACATTAATTATATTTTTAATCATAGAAAAATTTAAGGTCTTTTTTTTTCTGTCGTCCTTGTGCAAGGAGTCATATACATTCGTTATATTTCTTACCGGGGCAATAATACTTCTTTTAGTTATATATATATCATGTGTGAAATATTTTAATATATTGTTGTTTGCATAAAGATTTTGAAAAATGTGTGAGAAATCTCAAGATATTCATCTTATGAAAATATTGGAAGATATATGAATGCAATTTAGTTGAAATTTTGAGGAAAAAGCATCATAAGAATTCATAGAAACTATTTAAATTGAATATATTATTATTCTTCTTTTATTTCCTAACTAATAAATTTTATTTATTTTTTGTGTACAACATGCAGAGAGGTAGATTAGGTTTCAAATTTACGACATTTTGGTTAGAGAGGATCAAATTGGCTATTTTATTGATAGTTTTATAAGACAGCTTATATATATTTAAATGACACAGTAATTCATTCAAAAAGTAGGTGAGAAACATAGAGATGCTCATTAGACATTTCAGTTTAGAGAAATCGTAGAAATGTCATAATTAGAAAAGAAGCCACCAGAAGAAACGACGGATTTTATATCATCTCAGACCACATGATACATTAAATATGGCATATGAAAATGGAAATTTTCCTCCAATTATATGCCCGTGAGGGAGAGAGAGATTGCTTGTTTTATGATTTGCTTGAGGTGAAAGTAAGTTTTTATTTTTTTAATTAATTAAAAAAAAAGTGGATCCTTAAGTCTTAGTTTTAGGTTGTAAAAAGGAGAGCTAGAGAACAATTCTGTGTTTAGCAATAATGCACATTTTACACCATATATTCACTTTCTTTTCTTTTGTTTTTATAAAAATAACAACAATGCAAATTTAAGATTAGTATTCAAATCTTTTAACCTTTGGAAGATATTAGGGTCTCGTTTAGTAACGTTAACGTTTCTTATTTCTAGTTTCTAATTTTTGAGAAACATATATATTTGATAAGCCATATGGTCTCTCCATTCTCTCATTTTTACGAAATGTTTTCAAAATTGTGTAGAAATTTTAGAAGCAATGAAATTAAGTTTGTTGTTTCTTATTTTCATTTCCATTTCCCTTTTTTTTTTTCAAAATATTATTTTATCATTATTGAATTATAAAATCATAAATATAGCATTAAAACTTTTAATCTAAAACTTTAGAGGATGAGTAACAATATATTTTTTTTAATAAAAAAAGAAGGTTAAAAAACACATTTGGTCCCTGAAGTTTTATTAAAATAATAATTTAGTCCATGAACTTTCAATAGTAACGATTTGATCCCTGTACTTTTAAATTGGTAACCAAAATTGGTTAGATTTAACGGAAGTATGACGTGGTTTATCCATGTGTGCAAATTAAATGGCCAAGTGTGCAGATTGGTTCAATCTCGGGTCGGTTCAACATTGGACCGGTTTAAGACTCTAAAAAATAATGAAAAATAAAATAATTGTCTTTCATTTCACGACTTCCTCTGTTCTCCAACACCATCTCTGGCATCTTCGGGACTAAATCGGGACTAATTTGTGACCAATTTAAAAGTACAGGGACCAAATCATTACTATTGAAAGTTCAGGGACTAAATCGTTATTTTAGTTAAAGTTCAGGGATCAAATGTGTTTTTTAACCAAAAAAGAAAGGAACAAGAAATAGTTATCAAATGCATTTTTGTTTTTATTTACTAAAAAAACGTGAAACAAAAAACAATAAAGACCCATCTCTTAATAAAATGTTTAATGGCTTCAACTTAGTCACCTAAGAATACAAATATTGACAAATTAATTTTTTTTTTTTTTTGAATAGCTGACAAATTTAAGTTAAAAGACTTAAAATGATTGTTTCTAGTATTTGTATTAATATTTATATTATATAAATATTTTTAAAGTATTCTATGACGTTTTGAAGGAAAAAGAAGTCAAACTTTTCTTCAATATTAAGAAAATTTTTAATTTACGAGACAACCGCAATATTTAATGGGAAAAAACACATGAAAATTACTAATTTCTAAGATTGGTAACGAGTTTATATCCCTCCTGCCTCAATTAAAAAGAATAAGAATATAAATGGATGCTATTCCTTCTACCTCAATTAAAAAGAATAAGAATATACATGCCTCTCTCTCTGTTAGAAATTAGGATTCACAAATCACAAATCAACAATTCACATGTCTGTCTCTATCCACTTTCTCTCTCTGACCTTGAAAACAATGCCTCTCTCTCTCATCCCAGAAAAAGTAATTTTCTCTCAGATTGACAGTAACAAATAGAATGATGAAAATGGGCTGGGCTGGGCTGAGCTGGCCCAACATTGCACACCTCCCAAACCCAAATGTCTTGTCCTTCCTTGATGCTTTGTCCCCTCCCCTGTCTTTTCTTTTCTGTTCACTGTCTCCCATATTCATTTTTCCTTTTATAAATATTTCTTAGCCAAAAGCTGCTGTTTTGGGCATGTTTGTTTGTTCTTTGCATTTTCAATGGTACCCAAGAAAAAAAGACCAGTTGACTTCAATTCAATCATTCTCCCCCTTGCCTTTATGTTAATCATTTTGCCTTTTCTCTTTGATTCTCACCCACCTGCTCCTCTCTCTTCAATTCAAAGTCTCAAGCCAAGAAAAATCCATTCATAATCATCATCATTCTCTACAAACTTTTCCTTTCCCTCACTTTCTCAGCAACCAAACAGCCTCCCTTCCCCTCCAAAAAGCAAAACATCACATGTCACAAGTCACTTTATCAACCAAATGTAGAAACAGTTAAACAGAGATAGTTTGAAAATGTTACATTTATAATAATCGACCCGCAGACTAAATAACCTCGGCCAGCTCTTATTATTTCAGCACCATGGCTGTGGCTGAAGCCTCAAGGGTGGGGGGTTTATACATTATCTTTCCCTACCAAAATTACAAAGAAAAGAAGCCAAAATGTCCCCAACATTGTGGGGTATTTGTTTGTGTGAGTTACAGACAGGTTTAAGAAACTGGCGGCTCATTTAGGAGGGTGTTTAGAATCATCCTTCTGGTCTTGTTTAGATCCTGCCAAAGCTGCAGTTGCTGCTGCTGTCATGGCGGCTGTGGCTGCTCCTAACTTTGCACCACCTGCAGCTTTCATGGCGCCGGCAATTTTAGCAAATGCTGCAATTCCTCCAACAAGTACCGCTCTCAAGGCAACAGTTGGTTTTACTTCCATGTTTGTGATATCTGCAATTTGTACGGTTGCAATCTTAGAGAGGGCAATGCTGAATTACATAGTACTGTTTGCATTCAAGTGATGTAAAATAGTTTCCGAGTTTTAAAAGTAATCAATGAATGTTCTGCACAGTTACAATTTTTCTTGTGTATAAAATCTCTCTTTGAAAATTCAACAACAAACGAGACGTAAATATGTCCCAACAAAGAGCTCAACTTCAATCCAAGGTTACACACTCCTGTATTTTACCTTGGTTATTATAATTGGGGTAGTGGGGCTCCTCTCCTTGCATTATACATTTATACTACTCATCGCCCATCTACCTCTAAGCATTTGCCCGTCCCAAAGGCAACTCTTTTTAAAGACGACAAGGATTTTAAATAATTAAGTTTGCAATCAACGGGATTCGGACTCCCCTTTGAACTATCTCAAAACATGACGAAATGTTGGCAAGACTAGTTCACCTGGGTGAATCCCTCTTGTAAGTGGATACAAGTTTAGGAGTTCAAATATAAGTCTAGAAATGTTGTCAATCACATTTTCACGTGTTAATCCTCTTCTTCCTTCCTCTCCCATTCTGGTTCTTTCACTCTTCTTCTCGCAAATCAGTTTTCACATGTTCAAACTTTGAACTAATTTCCCTCTCCTGAACATGTCACAAGCTAATAGCGATGATAAGACTACAAGAATGACTTTCTTCATTCTCTAAAAACATGATGAGAATGTTGTTTGCTCTCTAAAATGTGGAAAAGACATGCCCGGTGACAGTTGCTGAGCAATTTTTGGATATCAAATGGACCTCTCCACGAGGTAATTTTAATATGGTTGATTTCCATTCTTCTGCAATCAGTTTCACTACAACACCTGCTCCTCTAGCTAATTGCCCCCTTCCCAAGTGTGATTTCTATGTTATGTATGGTTGTGCTTAAGGGCATATCGGTTGGAGTAGATTCTTCTTTTTATCAATCAAAACTCCTTCCCAAACTGACACTCGGGTATCAAGAATGCCTAAATCATCGTGCTTCCATTGCTTAAAATGCAAAAAGAGGAAAAATATAAATTTCATACTCCAAATTATTGATTTACCCTTTTCATGGACTAAAATGCAAGTATACAGTATTAAAGAAGCCCGGCCCATTAAGTATTTGTTAATAGAACACTGAAAGGAAAATATAAATTTCATACTCCAATCTTAAAACAAAAAGAGGAAAGAGCGAGAAAAGGGAGAAGAAGTACCAAATAGAAAAACCGTCAGTTTTCTGTCAAAGACTTGGCTTGCAGCAGATGGTCTCCTAAAAATCCGACTTCTGAAGACTTTTACGCACAACGGCTCTCTTTATCTTATAAGCCAGCCTTCTACGTATAAATTTAAAAAAACCAATGGTGAGAACATGAGAGAAAATCCGCTCCAAGTATAACACAATCCAACCCAAAAATTTCAATCACAAAAAGGGAAAAAAGAAAAAAGAAAGAACCATTTGAATAACTGAAAGGGTGAAAACTGACATCTTTTTCTTAAGAAAAATATTAATTTTTACTCCTCCTTTGCCAAGGTGTCTGTCTCAATTTCTTACACTCCAATTTTATTAGATTGTACCCTAGATACGTGATGCAATCTTTACAAGTGTTTAGTGGGTGAATAAGCAAAAAATTGATCCAAGGGTAAAAATTGCCATACTTGTCTAAAAACTAGGGCTCAATTGAATGAAATTGAAAGTTCAAGGTGAAAATTGATACATTTGCCAGGGGTAAAATCCAATCCAAACACAGAGGCAAGGCAATACCCAAGTAAGAATTTCTAATCCCTTTCTCCGCTTGCTTATTCATTCATACAGCCGTATTCAGATGAACAATTACGAAAACAGACCAGAAACAGAACTGCTAGAAGTCGATTAAGCAGGTTATAAAAGAAAGTAGATCTGAAATTGGGGGAACATACTCACAAATGTAGTGTTGATCCGCGGAGCGAAGGTGATTTGAGAGCAAGAACAGGGGAGGAGTATGTAGAAAGAGAGAAAAATGAAGAGAAATTATAGAGTTGAAAAGAGAGAAGAAATGGAGGAGAAGCTGAAGCTGAGCCTGAGAGCGAATATGGGGAAGCCCGATTGCCTCGGAGAAGAAACCACACCTAAAAATGGTAACCAAATTTAAAAAAAAAAAACAAATTAAATAAACAAAATAATAATTTGGGTTCACCCTTTTTCTTTTCCATTCAATTTTTCATTCGTGTAATTTTAATTTATGTGTTTTCGTTCATTTTAGTGAATATATTTTCAAAAGAATAATAGTTTTAGTCTTTATTTACTTTTTTTTTTAATCTCATTTTTCAATATGACACTCCACTCAATATATTTCGTATAATGTAGTTTGTATTAAAAGGTTTCTATTATGTACAGAAGTTGCAAAAATTTTTGTAAATAATAAAAAAAATAGTCACTTTTTTGAAAGTTCAAGGATTAAAACGAACGTTTTGAAAGTATAGAGATTAAATTGAACAAAGTTGATAGTAAAAAATCAAAATAGACATTTACGAATCAAGTACAAGGATAAAAAWTAATATTTTAATCATTGTAACTATAGTCATATGGGTTTTATTCACACTATGTTGTGTATAAATAGGGAAATAGTCATCAACCTAAATATAATTTAATTATCCTCCCCCATTGAAATGTCAGAAGTTCAAATTATTCCATCTTTATGCATTTAATTATGATTTGTACATTTAATATAGGAAAAAGGATTGAATTGTATAAAATTTACACTTTTGTCATGAAACAACCCGGTACACATCACCTAATATATCCTTTTGTATCTCACCTCAATATTAATTAATTTTTAAAATCTAAAATTGGTTACTCGGTACTTTTAAATCCCTTCAACTTTGCATAATTAGACATTCCAAAATAAAAAATTTGAAAACCTCATTCCTTCGACTTTTCTTCTTCTTCTGTCGTTCTGTTTCCGTCCATTCCTTCGTCTCCGACTACCGTCTGCGTTCCTTCGTCTTCATTATTCTTCGTCGTCGGAACAATCCATCTAGCTTCTCCTTCGTCTTTGGTCGTCCGTCCATTGTTTCCGTCTGTTTATCCCGAAGTTTCTTTTTTGACGCCAGTCACCCGTCGACCATTCGAGCCCTTCGTTTATTCCGACCATAGTCTAGTCGCCGACGGGAAGGTTTGTAGGTTATTTTCTTTGTTTGTTAATTGTAGAGGGATATAGTTGTATGTACTTTATAGCCAAATATATGTTATATCTCCATATAAGTGTATGTTATAATGGCTATAGTCTATATCGCCATTGTAAGTGTGCTTAAGTTTATAGTCGGATATAGTTTATATTTCCATATAACTGAAAAGGTAGCTGGATATAGTTTATATATATATATATACATACATATTTCCATATAAGTGTATGTTATAATGGTTATATTATTGAAATTTGGTCAAAATTCGTAACAAAATAAAAAAAATATTTGTAATAAATTTCATTATTTAGTAGAATATATTAAGGAGTAAATTTGGGGATTATGATAATAATTAAATATTTTGTAATAAATTTCATTCTTTAGTAGAATATATTGAAGAGTAAATTAGGAGATTACGAGAATAATTGATTTAGGTCCCATAATAATTTAATGTTTACAGAATTAAATTTGAAATATTAATCTTTTACATTCAAATAAAAGACGAATCATAATAAATATAAATGCTATAAATAAGGACAAATTTGGTATTTAAAAATAAGTTTTAAATCGAGAAATCTAAAACTGTAAAATTTGTAAACATTCTACATTTGTGAAAATAAGTTTCCAAAATAGCTTATGTAGACATTATCTCTATAACCAATTTCAAATAAAGTTGGATTATGAGATTACTATAATGTTGTTTTTTTAGATGAGATGCTTATTCAATTAAGTTGATTTCATTCTTTAGTCTTTTTTTTTTTTTTGAAAATCCATTCTTTACTACTTTAATACTTAAAAAGCTTCCTAGTCTCATCTCATGATACTTAACTTTTGTGGTTCAAAAACAATATTTGGTAAATAAATATGGAGTAAGAAAGTTTTAACCAAACCCAGCGGGGAAATACTTGCCTATTTAATTCTAAACTAATTTCTGATGTAGTTTGGTTGTATTGATTTGTTTTCGTTGCATTTAATACACAATCCGATTCTACTATTATTATTTTTAAATCACATTTTAAAATGTYAAAGCGAGCATAATTCAGYGGTAATTGGCATATAACTCCAACAAAGAAGTTTCAAAGCAATTGAATTCTCAATCGTGTATATATATACAACCCTAATTTTGAAACACACAAACAAATCTACTTAAATTTTCTCAATTCCTTATTCAATTCTCTCAATACAAAGAGCAAAGAAATCAGTTGCTCCCATCTCTTCTAAATTTTATGAATTGAAAAAAAGAAGACTCGTAAGTTAAAAACATAAATCAAAACAAATCGTTCACATAAATAACCCTAATTTTGACCCACAAACAAACCATATCACCAAATCCCCAAGTTAAAATTTTATCAATCACATGATATATCTTGACACACACATATATATATATAACTTAGAACATAAAACTTTGCTTCTATAAAAATTTCCTATTCCCACCTCACCAAATTGAAGCTTATTATAGGCTACAATAATATAATAGTACAAATCAAAGCTACAAAAAAATCTCAACAACGTCACCCTTCAATGTACATAACTCTCCAAGCTTAAAGGCATAGTTGAGTTATATTCATAAAGCCAAGAAAAAGAGAAGGAAAAGATGATCGARTTGATCAAAGAAAACAGACCGAACCGAACCGAATCGAATCATATGATAATTAAAGAATTAATCGAACTGAAAAGGGGTTTTGATAAAATTTGGGTCGGTTGAAATTGGGGTTAAATTCCCACATATATCGTTCCCCATTCAACAGAAATCGGTTAAGATCTGTGTGTCGTCTCTCTCCCCATAATATCCATCCATTTGCATTTTGGTGTGGCCTCTGAATTCTCCCGGCCCTTCCCCAAAAGCTCAGAAAATAAGGCAACAAAATCAACAC